CTTGTCTTTTCGTCGTCAGTGAAATCGCGAGTTGCTCATCGTTACATGTAGGTGTTGTTTCGCTAATGAGTGTTTAGATCATAGAACCGGTGTTTAAACTCCTGCAGTTCATGATCGTCTTTCTACGTTTGCTCTTAAAATGATTTCTCCAGGACTATCTCATGAGAAACCTAGACGATTGTCGTTTGGGTGACATGTATTTCAACAAAGAACTGTAAAAATGCTCTTTAAAAAAAACTATTTTCAATTTTTATTTTGCCATTTGATAGGGTATTTTAGAGCATATCAGGTTTGTACCATTTTTGAGCCAAAATGTGATATCATCTCAGGAAGGAACCCCAATTCCCTAATTCAGCTCAACATTTGCCAGAAAAATGGAATATCTATCTGTCTTCTTCTGTCTTCAATTGTCTTTTTTTCTGAATATCTCCAGTGAGAAATTTTTCAGTAAACTATTCAAAATTATAGCAGGAATGGGTTCTTTACGAACAGTATCTCGGCAACAGTGTCAGCATTTGTCAGAAAACCCCTGGGAAGTTTTATAAATAAGCTATTTAAATATTGCACTGTCAATACAGTTTACTAAAAGGATATGTCAAATAGGTATTACGAGATGTTTCCGAGGTGTGCAAAGTTGTGCAAAATCTGCATCTGAGAAAGAAAAATCATTGCATGGACCCTGCAAGAATCATATCAATAGGAACGAACCATCATGGGTATCTGTAGGAATTTATCATTGTGAACAATTCGAAATTTCAAATAATTGTAGTTTGTGAACTGGGATTTCCCCTTTAACATAATTATTAACATCGCTTATGTCGCATGTCTCCTATTATCGCCTTGGAGTCGGTTGAAACTAGTGTTCATTATGTTGGTGGCATTGCAACCGCAACACACGTATTTCATAGTAGTTTGCGAACCAGCGAAGGGCAGTTCCCGCAAGAAGACCTTTAATTGCCAGGGAAATAGCGCCTTCTCTTGGTTCTCCTGTGGGCTCATGAGAAGACGCTTTGCGCATTGGCGATCTCAACCCTTGCTCAACATAGTCCCCCTCTGTGGCATGTTTGAAAAGCAGGTGTGTTCATTTAATCCGATAATTGGGCTTCAGGTTTTTGATTAGGTATCTTTTAAAGTATTTTCCCGGGTTAGACTGTGGTACGTACGAATTGATTCTTATTAACTGGAAGTGGAGACTCTTTCATGGCGGAGTAATAACTTCATACTCGTAAGAGAAGTTTGGTTGTAAGTGCTCTTCGTCTGTCACTCCAATACAGTTGGGCCAGAAGTTTTGCTACGGATGCTGAGCATTTCTCACCAAGAAATTAGCCTCCTTGAGAGTAATGGGCGCCCTGTAAGACTGTAAGTACGTTTTGTGTTTATACCTTCAAATTAAAAAATGAGTGACTGGGCCGTTTGTGACCAAATAAAGATACATTTTCAGACTCGATAAGCGAGTGTATAAGAACGCATTAACGTAGTGTTTTGAATTGGCTGGGTTTGCTGCAACGACTCGAACACAAATACAGAATAATTAGCGAAATCAAGATGTGCTAACCCAAAAGTGTGGAGTATCATTTAGAGTGGTCTGTTTAGGATTGGTGTTTTCCTCCATAGCGAGAAAACATAAAATGTAAGAGGAACCATCTACCACTTCAATTGTGTTTACTACTGATACATATGTATTCTGTGCAGGCGATCACAATTCAGTGCGCCACCAGGAGGCTACTTCGGATAAGTGTTTTTTGCAGTGCATTATGGGAAAATGGTCGACAAAGTTCTGCTCGTCAGTTGCGCTGTGCGCAGGGGAACTTGAATTGTTCCTAATGTTTATCTTGCTTGAAGATTTGAAAGGGTCCTTCAAATATGGGTGTTACTTATATGGTCATTTGGGGGGGGTGTTGACGGGTAAGGAGTGCCCTAATCAATTATAAAATCTCCTTCAGTCCATTTTCCAGTTGGCCCCGTTTTTGTCGACTGTAAACTTATGAAATGTCCTCTCTCTGCCAACCTCTTGGAGGAGCGGTGTATCGTAAATCACCTGTATTCTATTGCCCCACACAAAGGCGTATCCAGCGCCCAATGGGGGAGGCCAAAGATTGGGCATTTTCTTTGTGGAGACCCTTGCCTATTATCTCCTTTCTTGGGGATGAAGCTATAAAAGCTTTTACTTGCTTTCATGTTTGTCGCAGGGAGGAGGGAAAAACCAAAAGTCACCAATTTACTTAAAAATACCTCAACATTGACCCCCTATCGCATTTAATGGGTTAGGCCTATGAGTGCATTGCTGATAGGTGTTTGTCCACACCCTCACCGAAAATCTACACCTTTCCCCCCGGTAAAATCCTGTTGACGCCATTGTTTCCTTTTGGAAGCATGGGAAAATGAAATCCCATCAACTTTACCTTACATTAAAAACGCTAACTTTTTTAGGTTACCGTGATGGCTCCCCCCCCCCGATCCGCAATCGGCCTAGCAGATCTTCACACTGTGGCAGCATTCTTGATGTACATTTAGTCTGGGGCAATAGTGAGAAATTTTGATATGGGCTGTCAAGAAATTGGGTTGTTTGTCGCAACACATCAGAGAGCTTTCCATCAGATCCGACTGGCTCTTAATGAACGCGCCGTAGAATCGGGCGCTGGCAACTAGAAAGCGTCTCTAATATCGCGAATCGCTTGGCGGATAGAGGAATATACGCCGAGAGCGAGGAGGATTAACGAAAGTGGATCACTGGCTCCCAGCGCCACCCCATAAATAGTACACCCTGCTAACGAACCCTCCCTTGCTGCATTAAGAGGATAACTTAATGGCCTGTCTGTGCACTCTCGCATGACTGTATGCACTGTCGTTTACCTCACGGAGAAATTAACACGACCGTGAACCAGGAAACCGAGTCAGCCCTGGAACGTCTGTGGTCGTAGCGTTCGATTCATTTTCATGAATTATAAAGGAACGGCGTTCCTCTTTACTTGTCAGTATATTTGATGTGCATTTTAATAATTAGTGTTTGATACATTTCATGCATCGTAAAGGGACTGCGTTGGTATTTAGCATATTATTTAATGTGTTCGAATTATTTGTCGCTGCAAAACAGAACATATTCTGCTTGCTAAAGATCTACAATGTTACAGCAAAAATACGAATTACTAGCTTGAATATTGAAACACACAATGTCACATGCAAAGTGCAAGTTATTCATTAATTATAAGCATCGATGGAAAGAGCTTGCGTCCACATCAACAGACCGGCTCTTTTTAAGAAATGTCACTTCTTCTCAAAAGAGATTTTGTCACAAAATGCAGAAAAGCAAACGTACTTTTAGACCACACAGTGTCACACATTGGCCTACTGTACAACGTTGCGTGTTGGACTGGCGCTTTCAGCAACTCAGGCTATTTGCGCCAATAACTGTACGTTTATTCATACACTTTATTAATCAGCATCACATTACGCAGTTACGAACAAGGTCCAGTTTTAGAGGCAGGAGGAAACCGGAGTACCTGGAGAAAACCTGCTAGAGTGAGTATGGACTGGAAACCAAATGCACTTAAAGCCTGGGCCAAGCCAGGACTCGAACCCGGGCCTCATTGGCGCAAAGCGAGGAAAGAACCGCTACGCTAACCTGCTCCCAACCTCCCCCTCCCTCCACGCCCCTCCCCCCACTATATACTGTATCATGATATGATATGTATGTACTGTACAAGTCGGGCAATGTTGCATGAGTGCCGGCACTCCACACATACCAAAACAAATGTCCAAAGGAATGTCTGCGATAAACCCAATTATCGTCCGTAAAGCTGCACTGGAGACCGTAATTAGAACGTTCAAATGAGCAGGCTAACTGCACGACTCGATATCAAAACGCAGCGTGCTGAGCATGCTACCCTATCACTTCCCTATCATTACTCCGAGAACCATCGATCATTTCTAGGAATACGGAAACAGCCACAGGAAAGAGCGGCATACAGTCACTTAGCATGCAGACTTTGCATCGGCACTACAGAGATTGTCCCTCCGATACAGACGGAAGTTTTCGACATGTATAGTCACAAAGACAAGCAAATATTTAAAAAGCTGAATATAGTCCCCCGTCTGTTCCGTTGAAGTACGCGAGAGTTTAGCACCCATTTTTCCCACCGCTAACCTCAAGCACCGTCAGAGTGGCTCATGATTGGGACAAACGCTGGAAACGCAAATATCTAGAGTGTTCAGTGTTCTTTTGTTACAAACAGCTAGGGTAGACGATTTCGACAAGTGTTTACAAAGTCCTGTTTTGGGTCGTGTGGTACCGACTTGTGTAAAAGCACGGGAATTGTATGCGTTTGTCAGTGAAATGTCGATGCATTTAATATTGTACAAAAAAAGTGCATTTTCCGATTTCGCAGCACAGGCGCTGAATCCCCCCTCTGGGAATTAATCACCGTGTTTTCCGATTTCATGGTACAACGTTTGACAAGGGGTTAAAAACCTCGTTGGATTTATAAGAATAAAAGGATTCCCAACATATACGCGCTAAAATAGACCGGCATCCCTGACATAGCGTCAGGCTTTTGTATTTGACTTGCGGTGGCTTCCTGTCCAAACAGTCAAACAGACAAGGGACTAGAGTTTTAATTATTCGGTACGTATTATGGCCACAATCATCGGCCCAGACATTCTACTCTGAATTTTACTGCTGTTTACAATAGTATATTGGCTCTTAAGACTCTTCATATTTATTTTTCTTATGCCTTTTTATGATCGATATATAAAGATGGAGGTGGGGTGATCGCATGAGCCCGCTGCTTAAAAATTGTGATCTGTCCCCCGCCCACTCCCGAGATCTGCACCCATTGTATTTTCTTATTTTAGACGCAAATATTTATCAAATTTTCTTGCTTTGCTTTTAGCATAATTTGATATAATTTCGAGAAGACGTCAAGTGGACGTCATTTGCCCTTTTACTCGCCGTGGATTCCGTTGTCGCTCGCGTGAGAGCAACCTGCATGAAACGGTCGCTGGAAATCCAGCACTTGCTACCTGCTCATTTTTTCCCCCTCGAGATAGTCAGGTTGAGCTCAAAGCGAACATTATGTGGGAAGCGCCGGTAGTGTGAGGAGCGAACTGATCAACAACAGTTCGCTTTGGAGCGGCAGCGTACGGACAAAAACAAGCCCACCGCATCTACCGCTGCAAACTCGGATGAACAACAGGGCGCTGGTAGCCCTCTGTCCTCGGCCCAGTAGACGAGGCTTGGGATGAGACCACATTGGCCTTCACTTTTGCATTGAGGTATGTGTTAGTACGACAAAATTAACGACCATCGGTCACTGCCACACAAGCATTAACACACTTTTTGTTTTCGTGCCGTTGTTGAAGGGTGATGAAGGTTATCGTTGTAATTTCGCTCGTCGTCCAGGGGGCACTTAAAATGTACCGTCTTCACAGCGAGGGCAAATCGGTAACTGCATGAGGCAATTATTACATCGGATGCTGATATAACGTTGGATGGAGCAAAGTATCCGTATATAATACAGCGCAGTTGTTATATGAAAGATATTCATTCTCTGCCAAGCAAGCAAATTTATTATCATGTCAAATGCCGAGGCATATCAAGTTGCTATAGTAATAACAAGTTACCAGAATCAACTCTGGTTTATTAATCCATTACTGTCATTTTCCTGAAAATGAAAATTGAGTGATTCATCTTCTAACTGGCATGACAGCTAAAAATAATATTAATGTTGAAATAAACGGGTACTTCATGCGCCTGCGATGACATTTTGATTTTTCGTTGCGCTGACATTAAAAGTTGGCCAAAATGCTATATTATGACTAAAGTGTACAGATATGAAAAGGCATGGATTAGATAATTTATGCAAATGAACTAAAGATTGCTATTAATTTGCATCTGGAAGTGTTTGTAATCAGGAGGAATTTGTTCTGTGGCGTTGCTGAGAATAACAGCATACAGAACACCTATCTAACAGCGAAGAGTTATTGCCTTGCTATTAGAGATATTACTTTTCTGCAGGCAACTGACTTGACGTGAAACGTATGCTGCTTACGTATTGCTAATGTTGAAGTAAACGTCAAGTGCAATTTTGTTGATATTCACTGAGAAATCAGGTTAGAAAGTCGTGCATCCAAGCAAAAGTAGTGCCTCAAAACTGGAGCCCCATTTTTTTGGCCAGAAGTCTCAATGGAGGAATTTCTTATAAAACAATATTTTTCGAGTGTTGTGGTAATTGCTTTCATTCCTGCGCAATGTTTGTACATACTCCCACTGCGGACATGCCGTTGACACGACTAGGTCGTTGGTGGCACAACCCTGTGTGGGCACTGCGTGATGCGGCCTTGCAGTGGTCGTCCCAACAGTTAATTAAGCCGTCGCACCGTCAGTCCCGACAGCCTGTTTGATTATGCCGATTATTGTTTTTATATCAAGCACAAACCGAGTCTGTCGGGGTTGGAAATCCTGACTTCATACCTTTTGGATACGATACTCAGATGGCTCCTGAATTACTGCAGAAATATATGCACAGATTTTCGAGGTATGGATCGTCCGTGAAAGGGTTTGGCCTGATGTATTTAGAAAGTAAGAACTTTTTAATTGAGATAAGTGATAAGGCCGGATACAGGGAATACCGGGGATTGGAAGGATTGCTGAAGCCTCAGGCGTGTGAGTACTTACATTGTTTATGAGGTAATTATAATGACTGAACGGCTGCTTCACAGCCTGTGTGAAGCCGCCATCGAGTTTGTAGCAATCTAGTGTTCCCGGGCCGGCGTATGCGATCTGTTTATTGTTCCCGTAATTACGTATGCGCGAGCACATAGTCACGCCGCTGATGTAGCGTGAAATTTGGACTCCGCTGGCCGTGGTGGGATTGCCACGCGTAAAAGCAAAGCGAAAGTTGCAATGCTCTGAGAAGGAGAGAGCTGTTATGGGATGCCGGCAACCTTTGAATAGAAATGCTTGAGAAGAACGGGCAAAAAACGGAGTCGGGGTTATTTCACGCAATCATTGCTTTGTTCTGGTAAGTCATGCCGAACAAGTGTATTTTTTGTGCAATTTGTTTCCACATAGGGCCTACATATATCCATTTTCACTTAATTGGATCAGCCTCCACCATACAGTTTGATGTGCGTGAACCTGTCGCCTACTAGGCTGTAACATATACACGCGATACGTACGATGCAGGCTTTATACTCAATAAATATCGCTTTTACGTGATTAAGTCGCGCGCGTTTGCAAGAGTTCTTCACGCACGCACTGTACGTGATACCTGCAGTGTCTGCGTGACACATGATGGTTGCACGTGCGTAGACTTTAGGCTATAATGACGAGCAGATATGATCCGCGTGCGGGATGAGTATGCGCGTTGGGAAAAGATGCGTAAAACCGCCTTCATGTAAACAGTGCCCACTTCACATGAAAAGCCTACGTATAGATTTTTTATTATTACTAGCTTTTCTAGGCGGCATGTATATCCACGGTAGGCCTACCCGCAACGTTTCTTGTGGCCTCTCAGGACAAATGCGTACCTAGAAAACGAGGATTCTTTATGCACGTGACAGTAATAAATTTCCGTGCGGTGTAGTTCTTGATATTCACCTGACTGTTCTTTTAGGTCTGATAAAGCCTCATGTGTATAACGTCCATCTTCGAGGCTCTTTTTTTGCTTGGATTCACTGACGACTGACAAATAAAATGTATCTCCCTCGCGAAGCAAAGTGTCATCTTCGAAGGTAACTACGATGCAAAGGGTGGTTGTTACTTGCGAAGACACAGTATATGGGTTGTATAAAGTGCCAGGACGCCGCCAGTGTTAATTTATGGGTCCCCATCATCCCGAGGGGAGGCTGTCAGTTCGACTAATATTTGGTTTATTAATCTTTTTTACGTCGACCTTTAGTTTCATACGAGGCGGAATGACGAGGGTTGGTTGCAATGTATGGAGCCTATAATTATGTTTTGGTAACCAGATTAAATTACCGAGGTCATATTTCAGTCTCGCGGTGCGGGAGTTACTCGACGAAGTACTCGGTGGGCCTCTATATTATAGTCTTGCTTTTAAGTGGCGAAACAATTATCCTGTGTTTGGGATGTCTCTTTGGCCGAGCCTTGAAACAGCACGGCGGAATATAGAACTGAATCTCAGAGGGTGGGTGGATTCATACCTGGACGCCGATGCGCACTTGTCTCCAGAATTGCGAGTTGCTGTGGACAAACAAGGACGTTTGCCGAGACGAAGCAATCGACTGGACTCGTCGCTGTATTACGTGTACCACTTGAGATAGCTTTCGGTCTGCGTGAAAACAGGCCGTTCCACTGTGATTTACGGGACCATACCAAGGAAGATACGTAAGGCGGATATTTTTGTCATGCGGTACGCCCGAGGGAAAAAATCTTACGGCACTTCCGCTTTGAGGAGAAATATGATTGGGATGTGTAAAGAACATGTTTTGGGGGGTGTTATCGGTACAATTAACTCCAACTTTGAAAAAAAAAAATCCAATTTTCATGTTAGGTTTCATTTTGTTTGCTTTGCTTTTTTTTTTTCGAGTTTGCCTTATGTATTTCGACAAAGTCGGGCCGCTGTAAAGTGTGAATCTCGCCAACTGTATCCCGCCCCCGCCATGTTTAGACAGTTACTCCGTGCCTTATAGGCTAGAATACTATTGATTTTCCGTTTTCACGTGGGTGGCCTGCCCGTTTTCCCGTCAGCTCTGTCAACAGCTGAGAAGGGGTTTAATTGTTGCCGCGCTAGGCTAGCGAGAAAAAAAACGGAACAAAGTTCAAGGAGGTGTGGTTAAAACTGTTTGCACTGTCATAAAATTAAATGTTTCATGACAGGCCGGTATCGCGGCAACTTGGTTATTCACAACGCCGAAAATTAGCGCGGAATTGGAAACAAACAACGCCGGACCTCGTGTGACATATTCCGCTCGACACGCTGGAGCTTGAATAACATCAAGGGAAGGTAGGCGTGGAGGCGTTGTCGTTTTCCCCTTTGCATTTAGATGGTTATCGCAATAGGATATAGCGATAGCGTACCGAGACACGGGAAAGTACCCTTGGGGAAGACACTGCCCAAGAACCCATCACGCATTTCGCAGCATACGCAGTTTTATGCCTGTATTTCAAAAGTATCATTTCCATACCATGAAAATCCACATATTCTGTGGTAAATAAGACCGTGCAGAGAAGATGCGCTTGTAGTAAACAGACAGACATGGAACCAACATAATGAATTAAGAATGAAGTGGATGTGACTCATGCTGATGACGAATGATAAATTTGCCTACATGCTGATTTTGTCTCCTTATAGCCATTTCAAATTAATTCATTTCGTTCATGAGTATATACAGTTTGCAGTCGGGCTGCACAGGTTAAAATAATAAATATTTCTTCCAGTACATGCCAATAAAATGAATTGTGCCGCGATAAATGATGTACATAGCGTATATTAAAAATGGATTTTTCGAGAAAATGAGGGTTATTGCCCTGCGGTGTATTGATAGGATTTAGCTGACGGGAGCATAGTTCAGGCAGGAGCTGCAAAGCAAATTACTTTCAGGATTTGACGTTGGCAAGGCCCTCCCATTCATGTACATTGAATCATCGTTTTCACATTTCGGGGGGGGGGTTGTGTACGGTGAGTTTGTTTCTGCATTCAATTGGATACCCTGAACAATAGAGGACTATAAGGTCCCCGATTGACAGAGGGTCCCCGATTGACAACTG